TCTACAGCATGAGGTTCTGCCCGTTCGCGCAGAGGACGCTCCTGGTCCTGAAGGCCAAGGGAATAGAGTGAGGACGCTGGCCAAAGCTGTGAAGGGCGGTGAGGGTGGGCATCCCGGATTGGCCACGGGGCTGCTTTTTGTTTTGTTCGTGTGTTTTGCTGCAAGATAAATGATTCTCAGCCCTTTGGGGGAACATAGAAAGTTGTAGACCGTCTCTGCTGGGGCGTGGGAGGAGAGAATGCCATGAGTACGGTCTAAAAAACCCATTTCCGTCGAGTCAATTTCGACTCCCAGCGACCCTATAGGACAGAGTAGAACTACCCCATAGGATTTCCAAGGCTGTAAATCTTTACCCGAGCATATGGACCGCCGACTTTTTGGTTAGCAGTCCTATATTGTTTGCTGTTATTCTGAGTTGACGGTCCCTTCTGGAATAACCAGTGACTTTCCCCAGGACGGAGTCCAGACCTTTACCCTCCTAGCAGAATACTGTCTTAATAGAGATACTTGTGTTTATGGAGTTGACTCAAATAAAGGAAAGTGTCTTTGCCTAAAAATTCAGCCTTTGGCAAAGCCTTAGAGTTGAAACTAGCACGGTTGACATGTATCCATATGAAATACGCAATAGTAACTTGGCTTTTATCAGTTGCTATTAAGTTCATTGGAAAGGCCTCACTTGTAATGATCTTTGGACTCTGCTAAACGTTCATTGCATACGTGTAGGTGGAAGGCACTGTGGAAGGATTTTCGACCTCTGTGCTCATTGTTGTAATGTGCCATCGAGTAGGACCTGACTCATAGACCTCTCCTTGGGTTTCTGAGGCAGTATCACTATGGAAGTAGATTGTCCCATCTTCCTTCCGAAGAGTGGCTGGTGGGTTTGAACCGCCAGCCTTCTGGTTAGCAGTCAAGTGCCTTAGGCACTACGCTACCAGAGCTCCTTAGGGTTTGTAAACTAATTTTAGTCTGTGAGGGGAATGATTAGGCAAGCAATTCTCTTCCCTAAGAGAAATGTGAGATGTATTTTTCAGAAAAAAGTGTATGTTATTTTTGAATTAACTATCCCTTCACTAAGGTTCACAGCTTATTTGGACAACAATTATGATTCTGAATACATAGCAAAATATTCATCATTTAGTTAGGTGTATCCAAAACATTATTTATTGTACAGAGAACCTTGCCCTGCAAGAAAAAGAAACCTAATTCAAACCAGATTGTAAAAAAGACATTTATTGTACTCATATAATTGAAAAAATCCAGGGGTCGGATATAGGAGCATTCAGGGGCACAAAGTCTTGGGTTGTGTGTGCCTCTCTGGAACTCTAGGTTGAAACAACCCCACCTTGATTCCTGGGATGGGTTTCCAAAGGAAAATTGAAATGATTTTATACACACACACACACACACACACACAAAGTGTGGAGGCTCAGAGGGGAATCTATGTAGGAGAACCTAGATAGAACAATGTGGAACAAAACTCAAAATCATAAAAAAAAAGAGGGACCAGGGTTGCTGGTCTGATAGAGCCCAGTGGAACCCCTGAGACTATGGCCCCTAGCTGCCTTTCAGGTCTGGAATTGAACCTACTCCTGTGGCTTCCAGCCAAACAAAAGACAGGCATATGAGCTGAACATTTACATCAGGTAGATACACTCCTTGGAGAGATCAACCATGGGAGAATAGAAGGGCTGTGTATGGATAGGGAGACAGCTCAGGGGGCAGGAGTGCATGGGAGGGAAGGACACAGGGAAGAGGTGGCTATGGGGAGGAAGTGGGAGGAGAGCTGTTGCATTGTGGGAGACTGCAGTCAATGTCCTGAGACAAAGTGTCTGTGAGCTGCTGTATGGAAGATGAATTTGCTCTGTAAACTTTCACCCAAATCATATAAAATTTAAAAAGGAAAAAAAAAAAAAAGTGTGGAGTGGGATAGCTGCTAGGAAGGACAAAGAGCAGGTATCTTCTGCATATTTATCAGTCAGTATCAAGCTTGAGCCCTGGCGACTTTCAGTGATGAAGCACTCTATGTTTATTACATGCCATGAAGCATAAGAAAGGAGTTCTGGTGGTGCAGTAGTTAAGGCTGCTAACCCAAAAGTTGGCAGTTTGAACCCGCCAGCTGCCCTGTGGGAGAAAGATGAGGCAGTCTGCTTGTGTAAAGATTTGCAGCCTTGGAAACCTGTGGGGCACTTCTACTCTGTCCTGTAGGGTGGTTATGAGTCGGAATCTACTCGATGGCCATGGGTTGGGTTTGGTTTGAAGAAAACATTCCTTTATCTAACAGGTGCATCTTTCAGCTTGTTGTGGCAGGTGTTTTGACTTGTTGCTTTACAATGCCGGATTACCAAAATGAATGTGAGTTCTGGGAGCCTTCTCTATCACAAAGGCCCAGAATTTATGTTGTGTTTTCATAGTATACATTTTCAGAAATTATGTTCATCGTTGCTTGGCATGTGACCTTGTTTTCCTGGCAGTGGCTGGCATATGAGTGCCCAGTGTTCTGTCAGCTCATGAATCTTTCCGTGTATGTGCGCCACACACACACGCATGCGCACATACACACACACACACAGAGTAGTGCTCAAACTGTTGTTCCTTTGTTTCCATGGGGCATTACATCTTTAAAACCTCACAACTCAGTCCTGTCCTAGCTACTGCTGTGGATGTGGAAGTAGGAAGCGAAAGGTGTGTTGTGTATATTGAGTAACTAGTATATTCTTTTGAACTATTACCCAGCTTTGATAATTATATAAACCGGGCTTTAACAATTAAACTTTCCTTTCTGGTTTCATCTGAATCTCTTAGACAAAATACAAGACACATCTAAGTATAATCATAATATAGTCTGAACTTCACTTCTTTTCTTTTTTGGTTTACTTTGAATGGTTTACTCACCCAACAATTTTTTAAAATGTCAAATCACGGAGAACTAATCTGAAAACTTACTTGGTGGATGGATATTTAGGATCCCTTAACATCATTTTAAATAAGATTTTTTTTTTAAATCCAAATTAACAAAGGACTTGGATTTTATCATTATAATTCTCATTTAGTGCATAATAGACACAGTTCTATTAGTTGTCTAATATACTTAAAAATGAAAGATAGCTCTTAGCCAAAAATGGAGTATCATAGAAAAAGTCTTTAGGCATTTCCACTTCACTCATTAACTCAAAGAATACTTATCAAGTCATTATCTGAAACTATTTTTATTTTCCTCATGGCATTTACATCTTAAATTTTGTTTACTTACATATTTACCATTTTATGAATATGAGAAAGATCGCTGCTATCATGTAGCCTACATTCTAGGAAGGTGACAGGAATAAATGTAAATAAGTGAACAGGATCATTTCTGAGAGGTATCATCAGTTCAATGAAGACAGTAAATAAGGTGCTCATATAAAAGAGGGAGACTGGACAGCTGCTTCAGTGTAGGCAGACAGTGAGGACCTCTGTGAGGATGTGATACAGCCAGATCATAAGGGTGACTACAGGAAAAGTCGTGGCGACAACTAAGCAGTGGCCATAGCAAATGTATCTTGACATGGTAAGGAGTTTGGACTTGATCCTCATTGCACTGGGGAGCAGTTGAGAAGTTTTATGCAGGAAGGTGGCCTGATTCAGTTTACTTCTGTAAATGATCCCTGTGGCTGTGTATGAAGAATGGACCGCAGGGAAGACACAATGGAAGCAGAGAGACTGGTTGAGAGGCTGTTGTAACGTGCAGGTGAAAGATGATGCCTTGGACTAGGTGGTCATAGGGAAGCTGAGAGGTGGATGGAGTCCAGGTATGATTTAGCGGCTGAGCTGGCAGCTCAAGCTGACGCCAGGCCGAAGGGGAAGGAGGAGAAATGGAGATTGAGGGGTGGCAGGAAGGAATCCAGACTGAGTAGACTCCTAGGTTTGGATGGTAGGGCCAGTGAGGATTTATTCAAAAGTACAACCATGTTTTACCCTCCTCATAGTTTTCTGTGTGTCTTTCAGGCATGAAGTCATCAACATCAACCTGAAAAATAAGCCTGAGTGGTTCTTTATGAAGCATCCCTTTGGTCTGGTGCCAGTCTTGGAAAACAGTCAGGGTCAGCTGATCTATGAATCTGCCATCACCTGTGAGTACCTGGATGAAGCCTATCCAGGAAAGAAGCTGTTGCCTGATGACCCCTATGAGAAAGCGCGCCAAAAGATGGTCTTTGAGTTATTTTCTAAGGTGTGTGCATAAGAAATTTCAACTCCTATTTGAAAACTCTTTGTTTTTTAAGCTAAATCGAAGCTATTATGGTTGACTCTTTTGGAAGAGGAAACAAGACAGGAAGATGCTCTCATCAGCTCTGACATGTCCTGAAGCCCTTTCATGATCTGGTTCCTAGGTTTACCTTTTCAAAATTGCCCCTCTTCTCTCTTCTGACACTGGTCCAGCCACACTGGACTTCTTCTGTTTTCCCAAATTCACCACTGTCTCTCTCACCTTCCAGGAACAATCTTACGTATTCTTCCCCCTTCTCCCTATGTCTGCTTATCTCCACGTCATCTTTCATGTGTCTGCTCAGAACGCTGCCGTCCAGAAGCTTGCCCTGACTGGGTTAGTGCCCTGCTGCTGTGTTCCCACAATGTGCTGACTTTTCCCTCTGGAGTTGTTGGCTCCTATATTGTGACTGCCTGCCTTCTTGCCTGTGTATTGGTCTAGGGTTAGAACACCTTGAGGGAAAGGGCCCTAGGGCCGTGTGTTCATCACGGTTGGTTCACTGCCAAGGTCTGTGACCAGCTCCACCACTTTTTAGTCTTGAGACTCTGAGCAAGTCACTTAACACTTTACCTCTCGGAGCCCCGGTTCCATCATTTGTAAAGTAGATATGATAATTATTTCTACCTCATAAGACAAAAGTGAATTCGTTAATATAAAACACATAGAACCTGACCCATGGCAAATATTAGCTCTTGATGTTGTAGCCACAGGAGCTCTGGTGGCCTAGTGCCTAAGACATTAGACTGCTAAGCAGAAGGCTGGCAGTTCAAACCCACCAGCCACTCCTCAGAAGAAAGGTTGGGCAATCTACTTCCATAGTGATAACGCTTCAGAAACCCAAGGAGGGGTTGCTATGAGTTGCATCTGACTTGTTGGTAGTGTATTTGTTTTTCTTTGGTTATAGCCACAGGGCCTAGCAGTGAGCATCTATTGTGTTGGCAGTAGCTCTCAGCTGACTGAATAAATGGCATCCCACAGAAGAATTGCTTGTATCTTCATTACCATCAGTGTTGAGGATTAGTTCAAACAATCAGTGTTAACTAATAAACAATCAAGACATGTATTTAGACATCAAGAATAGCAATGCCATGTTATATCCCTATGATCACTTACCTTGGTTGTATGGAAGGAGCTCCCTCGGGTGGCATAGTGCCTAAGGCATCTGACTGCTAACCAGAAGGTTGGTGGTACAAACCCACCAGCCACTCCCCAGAAGGAAGACTGGGCAATCTACTTCCATAAAGATTTACTGCCTCGGAAACTCAAAGGGAGTTGCTAGGAGTCAGAATCTACTCGATGGCAGTGAGTTTGGTTTTTTGTTTTGTTTGTATTGGTGGGCATATTATATGGGAATATCTTGATTCTAGAGAAAGAAAATTGTTAAAGACAGACCTGGAAAATGGAAGGGAGTTATGGGGAGAGCAGATTGTTTCAGAAAACTGTAAAGGGAAGCTGATGAGGAAGAAAGAGGGGGCTGTCTGACTCAGCAGAAGGAGGGTGAAAGAACAGTAGAAGCCTGCTGTCAGAGGGGAATATGACATTTTCAAGACAGATCTTAGAGAATTAAAAAAATAAAAGTTACTAAAGAGAGTCATTGTACTTTCTAGAAAGAAAATGAGCTAAAAAGTAAAGCTGGAGATTGTCTACCGTTGCTTCCCTGCACACACTTGGGAGAGTGGTTGCCTATGTGTCACATGATGTCATCCTCACAGCCACAGCTGATTAGACCAGCAATGGACTTCTCTGCCCAGCCTGGGCTATCATCTTATCTCCTGGAGACTTGGAACTGAGATATCTAGACTAAGACAGAAAAGATGTTCAGCTCTGGAGCTGTAAGGTTATATATGTATCACCGGAGACTTGATAAACCAAAGTTATATTAAAAATAATAAAATAAAAAGCTTTAGGGAAGCAGAAAGAGCAATGTAAAGGGAACTGATATATGGGGAATAACATGGAGCAGACATTTAAGGAGAAGTAGGGGTGAAAGACCAGGCAGGCCCAGACAGAAATGTGGGCAGAAGGGCTGTCTGCAAACCTCCAGTTCCAATGAGGCTAAGCTGAACTGACATCATTGGGATTTCAGGAGATACTCCAATATTTTTACAAAGTACCTGTTTACTTAAACTGGGATAAGCAGACTTCTTTCTCTTACAATCAGATGGTACCAAAGATCAAAGTATTAAAACTAAGCACAACCACCACCACGAGCAACAGTAAAGTGCCTGTCATGATACTTGTCAAGTCTTAAGCAGTCACCACCTTTTGAACACCTCTCATGTTCTCCCCATGATAGAAATCAGAAAAATTCTCTTCCTCAGCTGCCCTTGCAGCTAGGGCAAAGGGCCAGTGACCTAGGCTCTTTCTGATTGATATATGCACGAGTCAGAATGACTTGGCAACAACTGTGAACCACAGACTTCAATTCAGAATTGAGCAATGTCAGGAAATGGGCTTGATGTGGGTCACTGATTGTGTTGGTGAGTGTCAGCAGATTACATTCCAGAGTAGAAATGCTATACCTGCTATTGACATTAGTAGTTACCTCAGGGAGCCCTGGTTGGCACAAATGGTTAAGTATTCTATTACTGGCCCAAGAGTTGGTGGTTCGAACCCATCTAGAGGCACCTCAGAAACAGGTGTGGTGGGGATCTGCTTCCAGAAGGTTACAGCCTTGACAACCATATGGAACAGCTCTACTTTGCACACATGGGGTTGCCGTGAGTTGGAATCAACCATTAGTTCATGACCTCTCAAGAACACAGGGAAACTGTACTCTTGATGTTTCTAGAACACCCTGACAGCAGAAACGCAAGGTTCTAACACACTTTTATGTGGAGGGGGAGATATACTTAGCCTCAAATTTGTAATCTAAGAAATTATTCTCTGTCTAGGTACCACCTTTGTTAACAAGCTTTGTTACAAAGCGAGGTAAAGATGACTGCTCTGGCCTAAAAGAAGAACTGTGTAAAGAATTCAGCAAGCTAGAGGAGGTAACCAGTTTTCCTTCTGGCTTTTATCAGAGTAACTGCTACTTTGTCTTTGCCGCTGCCTTCTTTTTTGTAATTTTTATTGTGATTTGGGTGAAAGTTTACAGAGCAAATCCATCTTCCACACAGCAGTTAATACACATTTTCTTCTTCCTTCTGCTCTTTTCATACACCCACGTCCCAAGTCACTTTATGACAATTAGAAATAATAACATGTAGTAAGGTTTAGTTTACAACAGATTGCCATTGTTTAATAAGTAAAACAAAACAGCTAAAAATACTGTCATGGACTTGCTTTGAAAATATTTTACTTACTACGTTGACATTAAAATGACAAGGAAAAAAGAGAAAATTTCACCCAGTTTCCACAATTTGTCACCTGTTTCATTTTTCGGGGCTCATTTCCATTCCTTGTCTATGTATTTAAAAATAAAAATGTTAATAAAAAAAAATGTCAACACAACAGTAGTCAAAACATCAATGTCACTGTGTTCTTGTTTTCCCCCTGCTTGATGTTAAGTAGTAACCCACGGCAAGCCTCCTCCAGATGCTTGGGGAAGAGCTGCTTTGGGGGAGGGCTGCCAGTTGGGCCTTTAGCCCTATGCCATTCACAACCACCTTGACGTTTTTACTTTTATGGGAATGCACTGTAAAATTTTATCAATAACTATGAAGTTTACTGTAGTCTTTACCAGAGACTTTTTTCATGTTAAGAGTTTACTATTACTAGTTCGCTAATTTTTTAAAGTCATGAATGAGTGTTGACTTTTATTGAATGTTTTTTCTGCACCTATTGCATCTGAGACATTCACAGAACTTTTTCCCTTTAATTTGAATACTGTCTTACTGATAGATTTTTTTTCTGGTGTTGAACCATCCTACTGGGATAAAAACTACTTGTTCTCAGTGGACTTTCATATACACTACAGAATGATTTAATATTTAAAATATCTTTGCATCCGAATTCATAAATAAGATTGGACCATTATTTTCTTTTATTGTGTTTTTACTTGGTTTTGGTATAAGGATATTCTAAACTCCTAAAATGAGCTTGTTGTTGTTTGCCATCGAGTCGGCCCTGACTCATAGCGACCCCTCCTTGGGTTTCCGAGGCAGTATCACTACGGATAGTAGGAATGCCCAACCTTCCTTCCGAGGAGTGGCTGATGGGTTTGAACCGCCAGCCTTCTGGTTAGGAGTCAAGTGCCTTAGCCACTATGCTACCAGAGCTCCTTGGAAACAAGAATGGCCAGACTTCGTCTCACCTATTTTGGTCATGTTGTAAGAAGGGACCATTCCCTGGAGAAGGATGTCATGTTTGGTAGGGTGGAGGGTCGAAGAAAGAGGGGGAGGCCTTCAGGGAGATGGATTGATACAGTGGCTGCGATGATGGGCTCGAGTATAGCAGGGATTGTGGGGCTGGCGTGGGATCGGGCAGTGTTTCGTTCTGCTGTGCATGGGGTCGCTATGAGTCAGAAACGACTCGACGGCACTTAACAACAACAACAACAACAAAATGAGCTGGCTCACTCTTCCTTTTTTTCTAATTCCTGAAAGCATTTGCTGTCTGTAAAACATTTGAGCCTGGTATCTTTTATGCGGGTAGAATTTTTATTACCAATTTAGAGTCTTTAATAGTACTTGATTTTGGGGGGTTTTATATTTTTTTCTTTAATCAATTTTGGTAATTTATAATTTTCTTGAAAAGTTTTTATTTCATCTAAGTTTTCAAATGTATTTGTTTTGTTTCCTTGCTGTTCATGTTTACTTAGTTGTAAAAATCCCTACATATCACTACTTACATACCTGCTTTCCTTCCTAACTTTGTGCCTTTTCTCTCATTTCTTGATCAGTATTGCTAGACATTAGTTTCTTCAAATAATTTATTTCCTTAATCCTCTATTGTTTGCTTACTACTCAGCAGTCTTCAGGTTTTATCTTTATTTTCAGATTTACTCTTGCTTTCTTACTAGCTCTTGAGTACTCAGGACATGTATTTCCAGTCTTCCTTGATTTTTCAATGCATCGATGACAGTATAATTCACCGTTACCACCTCAGCTGTACCCCACAAGCTTTAATATATTATTTTCATTGCTCAGTTCTAAATACATTTTAAAGTTTACATTGTGATTTTCTCATTGCTTGATGAATTTCAAAGTGAACACAGCCATGGAACCACCACCCATATCAAGAAACAGAAAACTTGTTTTGGCTATTTCTGTACTGTATACAAATAGAATCTTACAATATGCACCCTTTTAAGTCTGGCTTCTCTCACTCAGTATTAGATTTGTGAGGTTCATTTATGTTGTATCTGGGCCATTTGTAGTTTTTGTATGGTATTCCAAAGTATAACTGACTAGACCACAGTTTATCCATTCCACTGCTGATGGACTGTAAACATTTCCACACTTGGGCTATTACAAAAAAGTGCTGCAATAAACATTCTTGTACATTATCTTTTGGGGAACATAATGTTCACATTTCCAAGGCGTAGAATGAATGGATGATAGGGGATGCATACACTCAGCTTTAGGAGATACTGTTAAGTTAAAACATGGTTGTACCAAGCTACACTTGTTAGCAGTGCTTCCATATCCTTGCTAACTCTGTCTCGTTCATTTTAGCCACTCTCATGGGTGTGTAGTGGTGTTGCACTGTGATTTTAATTTGCTTTTCCTTGATGACTAATGCAGTTGAGCACCTGTTCAAATGATTATTGGCCATTTGATCGTCTTTTGTGAAACTCAAGTCTTGCCTGTTTTCTTAATGGGTTGTTGCCATTTTTCTTATTGATTTCCAGAAGTTCTGTCTATATTCTGAATACCAGTCCTTTGTTGGGTATGTGTTACAGAGATGTTATACTCTGTAGCTTGTTTGTCTCTGCTTTCCAGTTTATTTTCTTAGTTTGTTTCATCCCAAACCAAGACTCTAAAGCTTAAACTGACAAAGCAGAAAAATGAAACTTGGATACGGCAGGAGTAAAGCTGCTGTGCTCACCTGGTCTATTAAACGTGCCTGCATCATTGCTGATGTATAAATACTCTTATGCTAATGTTCAGGTTCTGACAAAGAAGAAGACAACCTTCTTTGGTGGCAATACTCTTTCCATGATTGATTATCTCATCTGGCCCTGGTTTGAACGGCTGGAAGCACTGGATTTAACCAGGTAACTTATTTGAATATTCTGTGCATAAATTAGGATAATGACAGTTGGAATGATATATACTGACCTTTTTTTCCCCTGGAAAAAGAAAATATTTATGAAACTGGTGAGTGGGAACAAACAGACAGGAGAGTCTGGACTATCCAGGCCATGTCATATACCCACACTCACCATTGCTCCCACTCCGGGGCGAGGGTGTTCTGTGACGTGTAGTAAAATGTTTTAAGTCATTTATTCCTTCCCTCTGGTTAAATGCCCATAAGGATGTGAACTTTTATAAAGGTATTGTGCAGGGTTGTAGGGTTGATGCTACTTCCCATTTACCTATAAGATTTCCACACTACTCTTTTCAAACTCCATGTTTTAAAGGAAATTTTAGATGCATGTGTCGCCCCTTTTGGCAGTGAGCTGGCAGCCACACAGGCTTCCTCCTACTTCTTTTGTTTTTATTATTATTATTATATTTGTATTTTTTATTGTGATTTGGGTGAAAATTTACAGAGCAAATTCACTTTCCATACAGCAGTTCACATACACTTTGTCTCATGACATTGAACACAATTCACCACAATGCAACCGCTCCCTTCCCACTTCCTCCCGACAGTCACCTCTTCCCTGTGTCCATTCCTCCATGCACCCCTGTCCCCCTGAGCTGTCTCCCTTTGTATAAACAGCCCTTCTTTCTCCCATGATTGTTCTTTCCAAGGAGTGTATCTACCTCAGGTAAATGTTCAACTTCTATGCCTGTCTTTTGCTTGGCTGGAAGCCATAGGTGTGGGTTCAATTCCAGACCTCAAGGGCAGCTAGGGGCCATAGTCTCAGTGGTTCCACCAGGCACCATCAGACCGGAAATCCTGGTCCCCTCCTCTTTTTTTTCCCAAATGATTTTGAGTTTTGTTCCACATTGTTCTCCCTCTCTATCCAGGATTTCCTACATAGATCCCCCTCTGAGTGGTTGACAGTGGTAGCTGGGCACCATCTAGTTCTTCTGGTCTCATAGTCGTATAGGCTGAGAATCACATGGTATACCGGTCGCTAGGACTAATTCTTTCCAGAATCTTTGGTTTTCTTCATTCTTCTTTGTTCTGAACGAGGAGAGACCCATTGTTGCATCTAGATAGCAGCTTGCTAGCTTTTAAGATCCCAGTCACCAAAGTAGGAGGTGGAACAACGTTTTGTGTAGTATGTTATGCCAATTGAGCTTGATGTCCCCTGTGACTATGGTCCTGAGCCCACAGGTTCAACTACTCGGTCCCTCTGGGTAGCTGGCTGTGTTCCTCCTACTTCTTAGAGGTGTAGCTGGCTGTGTTCTTCTTACTTCTTAGAGCTATTCATAGTTACTTTGAGTCACAATTTGGCCAAAGAAAAAAAAAATTCTTCATTATCTTTCATTTTAAAAAGTTACCCATCTTTCAGTTGGGACAAGAAAAGGTTCTAGTCCCAGTTCTTATGCAAGTCACTTCCCTGTAGTTTCCAATTCCTCTTTCATAAAGCAAATAACAACAAAAAAAACCCATTGCCATTGAGTCAATTCTGACTCATAGTGACCATATAGGATAGAGTAGAACTATCCCATAGGATTTCCAAGGCTGTAATCTTTATGCTGCATCTCTCTCCCATCGAGCAGCTGGTGAATTTGAACTGCCAACCTTTTGGTTATCAGCTGAGCACTTAACCATACCACCAGGGCTCCCCATAAATCAAAGACCTCTAAAATCTCTTCCAAATCTAGTATTCTATGATTACATGCATTTTAAAGAAACATTTTTAAAGGTTAGCAAGAAAAATACCAAACCCACTCCCATCAAGTTGATTTCTACTCATAGTAACCCCACTGGGTTTCTGAAGTGGTGAATCTTTACGTAAGCAGATTGCCCCATCTTCCTTCCGCAGAGTGACTGGTGGCTTTGAACTGCCAACCTTCCGATTAGCAGTCAAATGCTTCAGGCACTGCACCACCAGAACTCCTTAGAGGAAAACAAAATGAGACAGCAGTGATGATATGTGGGAGTTTGCAAAGCCTTCCGACTTAACCTAGCTCACTTAATGCTCTCTTTCTCCCATAGGTGTATGGATCACACCCCCAAACTTCACCTCTGGATGGCAGCCATGAGGGAGGATCCTGCAGTATCAGCTTTCCACCTGGATGTGAATTCCTACCGAAGTTTCTTAGATCTCTACTTGCAGAATAGCCCCGAAGCCTGTGACTATGGGCTTTGATGGGGCAGGTGTCAGCAATGAAGATCTGATCTTTTCCTTCACTAGATACTAAAATAACATGCTTCTGTTTTACCAAGTGTTCCCATGTCTCACTGGGCTGATCACCTCTGATTGATTTGACATGGCCTAACTGTGGGGTCTCCTCAAAGCCTCCTGCATTTACATTTCCTGTCTTGGGGTGCCCAATGACTCTAAGGTTTCTCCTATCATAGTCGACATGGAAAACCTCCAAATTGGCTCTAGCTAGATCTAGCCTCCAAGCTAGAGTTCTAATAACCCATGACATTTCCACTTGGATGCCCTCAAATTTCTTCTCTTTTGAATTTCTAAGCAGACTGCTACATCTTTCTCCGGCAGAGCAGCTTGTGGGTTTGAACAGCCAACCTTTTGGTTAGCAGCCCAGTGCTAACACAACCAGACCTCTGTGCACATGTAGCTTAAAGGAAAAAAAAAAAAAAAAAACAGCAAACGCATTGTCATTGAGTCAATTCCAACTCATAGTGATCCTGTAAGACAGAGTTGAACTGTCCCGTAGGGTTTCCAAGTCTGTTATCTTTACAAAACCTGACTGCCTCACCTTTCACTGGTGGGTTTGAACCATCAAACTTTTTGATTAGCAGCCAAATGCTTTAACCATAGGTCCTCTGCATATGTAAACACACATGTATAAATATCCTGTCAAAGCTGTGTATGTTCATAACTGTAGTCCCATTTGCCTTCTCACACCTGTTCAGCTTGTGTGTGTGTTTCCACTCATAACCCATTAAACCAGCTGCTACTGAGGTGATTCCAACTCATAGCAACCCTACAGGACAGAGCAGAACTGCTCTATAGGCTTTCCCAAACATCCACTTGTATATTACTCTTATTGCAGGATTGTGTATGTAATAGTATTTATTTTTATTTGACTGCTAACCAGAAGGCTGGTGGTTCAAACCCACCAACCACTCCTCGGAAGGAAGATGGAGGCTGTGTTAGATTGGGTTCTCTAGAGAAACACAAAAAAAAACCCAGCAAGGTATATATATATATATTTATAGAGAGAGAGAGAGAGAGAGATTTATCTTAGGCAAATGGCTCAGAAGCGTATAGGAGCTGACAAATCCAAGCTGCAAAGTCCATCTCTGTAGGAGGTGGGGCTTGCAGCCGCCTTTTTTTCTGCAAGCACAGCGGAGCGGAGAGATTCAAGCTGGCATGCAGTATATTGGTTGTTGTTTCCAATAAAAGATGCATCCGAGATCTCCAGGGGAGCGGTGAGCCGCTCACTCAAGGAAGTCTGTAGTTCAGAATGCCGTTCTTCCAGATTGTCCTTGGAATATCATTGCAAGCAGGCCCCTAGGGAAACTCCCCTTGGGCAGACTGGCCACTCAGAACTCAGTCATCTGATCCCATCATGGGAACAACCACACAGAACTGGGGTCCAGCCAAGTTGACACACAGCTCCAACCATCACAGAGGCAATCTACTTCCATCCCGATACTGCCTGGGAAAGCCAAGGAGGGGTCCCTATGAGTCAAAATTGACTCCACAGCAGTGAGTTTGGTTTGGTTTGCTAAGGAGCTCTGGTGGCACAGTGGCTAAAGCATTTGGCTGCTAAACAAAAGGTCAGAAGTTCAAACCCACAGCTGCTTATGGGAGAAAGATGAGGCAGTTTGCTTCTGTGTAAAAATTTACAGCCTTGGTAACCTGATGGGGCAGTTCTGATCAATTGTCCTGTGTTGTTACGTGCCATCAATCAGACCCAGATTCGACTCCTAGCGACCCCTCCTTGGGTTTCCGAGGCGGTGTCACTACGGAAGTAGATTGCCCAACCTTCCTTCTGAGGAGTGGCTGGTGGGTTTGAACCGCCAGCCTTCTGGTTAGCTACAAATGCGTTAAGCACTACACTACCAGAGCTCCTATTTGTCCAGTATGGTCACTATTAGTTGGAATGGACCAGATGGATAGCAGTGGGTTTTTGTTGTTGTTGTTGTTTCTGTTGTGCACTGAGGTCTGGCAGTGGATTCGGTTTGGTTTGTTGCCTTTAACACTTGTGCTCCTCCGCATCCTCCTTTGCCTTGATCATTCTCATACCATCACCATGAGAGGGTAGGGAGGTAGGAGAGCAACATTTCACTCTCAGACGATGCAACCAAGGTCCCAAGGTTAAAAGAAAGATGCGGAAAACACCAAGTAGGACCTCTTATCATCGGAATTAAGGTGGCTGTCCACCCGTCCCTCTTACGGTCTGGTTTACCATACTTATTTTTGCTGTTTACCTGTGAGGAAAACGTCTGAAAGATTACTTCCAGATTGAAGCGTGTATAAAAATCACTTTTGGCTCACAGCTGTATTTCTGATTCAGTAGGTCCGGGGTGGGCCCAGAAATCTGTATTTGAAATGAGGCTCGTGTTTATGCAATCGCCCGAGGGCCGCAGCCCGAAAGGCAGCTGTGAACCTGTTGCTTTGTCCTGTCGCCCACCCACCCTCGACCGCCAACAACGCGCAGGATCCAGGAGGACCCAGCTCTGCCGCCGTAAGCTTGCCGACCCAACAGTCGTGGTCGCCCCCGGAGGGCTCGCGCCGGGTGGAGTTTCAGTAGGATGTGAGTCCCCTACACCCTGGAGCCACAGCCAACCGCTAAGCACCTTCCACTTCCGCCCACCACAGACACTACTCGGGACACACGATTCCGGTATCCACAAGCCTATGACACGGTCACCCATTGGCTCAGGTCGGCCCTCGGTGTTTCCAAAAACTTTGGTGATTGGCTAAAGCTCTGAGCACCACCGCCTGTTGGCGGGTAAGGTCGCGCACAGAGGGGCGGGCCTTCTGCCGCCGCAGCTTCCTACCGCCCGCGGAGGCTACTGGCGCGTCGTTCCTTTCGCCTCCACCTGTGGGGTTCTGTCAGGTTTGCGTAGTATTTGAAGGGAAGAGGAGTTTGCGGTCAAATCTGAACTTTGGGGTTTTAACAAATTTCCAGGCCCAGAATAGTATTGTAGACTTCTTATTTTTGCCTGGCACATTAAAGAAAGGCCAACTACTTATCTTCAACAACGTTTCATAAAAGATTTTAACATTAAAAAAAGGTAGAAGCATATGGAAAATACCTTTAAATAAAAAACCAAAACCAAACCCACTGCCATCGAGTGGATTCGCACTCACAGAGACTCCTATTGGATTTCCAAGGTGGTAAATCTTTAGGGAAGTGGATTGCCCCGTCTGCCTGCCCTAGAGCAGCTGTTGGGTTTGAACCATTGACCTTCTGGTTAGCAGTCAAATGCTTTATCCAATAAGCCACCAAAATATTAGGAATATGTCAAATGCTCACAGGAGCCAACTGAAGTAGCTCTAAAACTGAAAAAAAACCACACTCACTGCCCTCCAGTGGATGGGACTCATAGCGACCCCTCCTTGGGTTTCTGAGGTGGTATCTCTATAGAAGTAGATTGCCCAGTCTTCAAGGAGTGGATGGTGGGTTTGAACAGCCAGCCTTCTGGTTAGCAGTCAAATGCCTTAGGCACTATGCCCACCAGAAGCTGGAATAATTCTAGCAAGAACAGTAACAACAATGTAGTATTGGATTATAACCCAAAGTGTAAAACAAATGTCCATGGGTTCATACTGATAAATAAGTATTGAATTAATGAATAAAGGAGAAGAGACAAATCTCCAGGCAGAATAAGTCCAAAAAATTTATGTAACTATTCTGTCGTCAAGCAGGTGGAGTATAACACCCCACTCAAAATGTACGTTTTGCATAGTGACTTCTTTACAAAGAAAGGAGGGGTGAGAAGAGTAGCTGATTAAGGTCAGTATCATCAGTGATAAAGTGATAGGATAAAAATGGCACTTTACCTCTGTAGTCTTCCTCCCCAAACCTGTAAGTCCAGTCTAGTCATGAGACAGACATCAAAGTCCAGCTAAGGGGCATTCTGCAAAACTGGTGCCAGTATTCCTCATCATTGTCAAGGGCCTCAAAAGCAAGCAAAGCATGAGATACTGATAAAGTCGAGAGGAGCCTAAGGGGACATACTGACTAAATATGTAATGTGGAATTCTGGAACAGAAAAAGGACCTTAGGTAAAAACCACAGAAATTTGAAAAAGGTAGGGCTTTGGTTAATAATAATGGATCAATATGGGTTTATTGCTTGTAATGATTATACTACACAAATGGTACCAGGGAAACTAAGTACAGGTGTATGGGAAGTCTCTGTACTATTTTTTCAATTTTTATGTAAATCTAACTGTTGAAAATAAAGTTTATTTTTTAAAAAAGAAGCTATAATGTAAGACGAAAGGACAGACAGACTTTTAAACCAAATATCTTTAACTTAAAAAACAACTCATTTAATTGTTCTAATTTTTCTCGTTTGTCTGGAAAGAGGTGAAAACCTCCCCAGACCACCAATCCTCAGCCCTGCACTGGGCACCTCTACTTTAGCTACACCACATAATCAGGGCCGTGGTAAGCAGGGGAATGTGGTCCCTGGAAATTGGCTGTCTTTGTAAAGGCTATGAAAGTCTTCCCTGCTACTCAATAATAATAATAAATAAACATAATAAATAAACAATAATATAACAATGAATACAATAATGGCTAATATTGAATAATTAATACCAGACATATGTTATACATTAAATGCTTCTCCTTCATTACCTAAGTTAATCTTCCTCAAAGCACATGATGGATTAGTACTACTAATTCCATATGAATGAAACCACTGGGTCATCCAGAGTGGTAATTTGGCCGAAGTCACCCAGCTTGTAAGTATTAACAAAGAGATTGGAATCCAACCTGAACTCTTAACACAAGATTGCCTTGCACTCCGCAAGACTATTCTTTTTTTTTTAAATATTATTTATTTTTGTTGTTGAAAGTGTGCACAATCAAATGTACACCAGTTTGACAGTTTCTGCATGTACCAGTCAGTGACACCGATTTCGTTGTTCAAACTGTGCAGCCATTCTCAAGCTTCTTTACCAAATTACTCTCCACCATTAATGTTGTTGTTGTTG